GTTATAATTAAAACATTGTGTCGACTGACACGAACCACAGACAGGCGAGCATTTCAGTCCGGCTTTCAAACATGAACAATTCTTCTCGCAGCCTGTCTTGCACTGACAAAAAAATCATCTTCAAGAGTTCCGGGGGGGCCGGATCCCTTGTGGTCTGCACCGGTAGCAGTACATCTTCTGCACGTTTCCATCCCCATTCCTCTGGTGGCAGTTCGTTTCCAAGCCATTTCTGCACTTGTAAATATACCCTATAAAAGTGCTGCCTAGCAGCTTCTTGGGTAGGGGGTAAGCATTCTAGTTTTATCGCAGTCTTGTTTTGGGCCAAGTTGTTGAAAGTCTTGTATCGGAGGGCCTGGAGAGCTGTCACCTCTTTTGGAGATTTGTAAATCGACATCAAAACAGTTTCTCCGTTCTTGAATACAGTCTCATGAGAAAGGATCTGATTTTAAAAACATTCAATGGCTGTTTTGAGTTCACTGGACTGACCTTCTCCTGCCAATTTAGACAAATTTTCCACTACTGATTTTTTTCCTTTTCTGAAAAAAGCAGAGGTAGTATCGCTCCGGCATTGCATATAAAAACAGAATGTTATCTCTCATGAAAGGCTGATCATCAAGGCTCCCGGAAGAAAATAGCTGTTCGGGCTTGTTTCCTTTGGCAGCTTTTAAAAAATAAATTTTCCATTGCTGCAACAAGAGCTTTACAAAAATATATTATTGAAATGTAATAAGAATTACAACAAATATATAGACTTTATTTAAAATCAACCAAACCTTTTCTGTTTCCCACAAACGAAAAACAAATTCTTGAAAATTCAAGAATTACGTCGAATTTTTCACTTTAAAAACTTCTTTTTTTTAACAACTTAATTGATAATGATAAAATACTATCAATATTTTTCTAAAATACTATCAATAATACCGACAATAACGACTCCAAAAACAACAGAGATTGTATACCAACAAAAGTAGACTATTAAGGTGAGCGTGTGGCGCGTGGGTACACGTGGTTAGGTTATGATGGAATATCATGGATCTCAGGCGGAGAGCGTAAAAATGGGGGAGATAATTCTAACAAACAGTTAAGAACCACGCTCACATACGGGGATCAATTGACAGAAATAAAAAGGCGAGAATATCAGCTTCACTTCGGTCTGGGTATTAATGTTCAAAAAATGAACAGCGGGGAACAAGAAGTATTTTAAAAAAGACCGGTTTTTAATTACTACTTGTTTCAAAGATTTCTAGAACTCCGAAAACGTATGAAAAATGCAAATAAACAAATCAATTTTGTTTTAAAATGCCAGGAAGTTACTGGAAAAAAATTTCTGAGATCATTCGAGACATCTCAAGATCCAATTTAAAACAAAAATGGGATAAAAAACTATTAAAAGAAAAAAAATATGAATGAATTACTATAAAGTGGTCCAAAATAGTGGGAAAACGCAACGTTGACCCTTTTTTCAATGTCCTTGACAGAAAATAACGGGCTTGAAGGCACATGGATCGATATCTATGGGTTTTCCCATTGTAATGAACTTTGAATCATCGAAAAATATCAATTTTTGACCGAGTTCTGAAACAATTTGTCCACCCGTTTACAAGCTAATCAGTATTGCTATAGAGATAAAGCAGGGGCTGAACGAGGGGACTTTTGATTGCGGTTATCTCAAAACCTGTCGAATTACCGACAAAAATGATAGAGACCATTTATGTATATAATGATAAGATCTTTCTTTTTTATCTGAACAAAAATTCTCTAATTTGCATATTGTGGAAGATATTAGCGGGAAATCAGTTTTAGGGTCCATTTTGGGCCCTTTCCGACGCAGCAGAGTTGGTAAAAGTTTTCGATTTTGGAAGCGACCGCCGAGACCTAAAAGTTGAGCCACAACGGAAATCTGGACCGACTTAATGACAGGTTGGTCCCTTCAGTTACTGGACTAATAATAAAGGTGTTACTACAACTAACTTGCAAATTGCACATAAGAAAAATAGACTGAATTCTCGGAGATTTTAGCTTTATGCTTTGCGCTCGGACTGGTTCGGTTTACGAGTGGTTTGGAGTGTGAGTAGCTACTCTTTACAAGTTAAAGAACTGAAAAAAGTATTCATTTAACATCTGTAAAAATGACCAGATAATTTACATGAATTTGAGCGTTTAAAGCTGGATTCAAGTTTCAGTAAATAATAATATATTTTAAACTACGGGAGGAGACCTCTTAAAATGGGAATTTAAAAAAAAATAATTTCCAGGGTTCTTGAGAACGCTAACAGGCGGAAATTTACTAAATATTTTTAATGAAAAAGTAAAATTTATTGACTTCGTCACTATTTAACGAGCGAAAATGGTATCACCAACTGCAGTTAGTAAGCAAAATAAAAATCAAAGGTATTACCTAGCTCAGAGACCAATTAGAATAAAATCCAGAATATTTTTAAAAACGGAAATAATTTCAAACTCAAATGTGACCAAAGGACACATGGCTTTGAGTTTGTATTTAATTTTAAAACTTGGTCACATTTAAGTTTGAAATTATTTCCTTTTTTAAATATATTTTTAGTGGAAAATAAAATATGTTATGCAGCACGTGTGTTAACAATGGGCGACACCTATCTCTCAGTCTTCATCTTGATCTTATCAGATCTATTGTAGGTAGCCTTTAATCGTTGATTAGAGTACCTTGTCTAGTTTGGTAATTTGTAGTAGACTCCATAGACTAGAAATTATCCCGCGTAGCTAGTTGCCTTTGGATTTTCTTCTACAACTATAAGGAATCTAGATAGATAGACCTTTGCAGTAGCACAATACGTGTACTATAGTTTCATCTTCTTCCTAATAGTATCGACAGAAGATTTTTTTGCCAGGCCGATGCAAAATTAACACATAGTTAACGTATGAACTTTGATAATATGTAAAATAATACAAGTGCACGCTGAGAATTGTTTTCTGTGTACTGCTACTTCTCAGAAGAGGGTTGCTTTGAGAAAAAACATATTTAATTTTGTATATCGCTGGTTTTACCAAATACAAACATTTTAAGTTCCTGAATTACCTAATTTTTGATAACTCGTATCTGACTTTAAATTTTTGTAAATATCCGTTTTTATTTAATTTTTTTTTCTTTATTCGGAAAAATTAAATTTTTTGTAATAATAAATTTTGATTTCAGGTGTATTATTCAGCATAGAGGTAACAACGGTTTACTTCGCAGTGAGAAACTACTGGAGAGGTTTTTTTGCTGCTGTATGTGGCGCGTCAACCTTTCGTTTGTTAGCTGTTTGGTTTCAGAAGGCAGAGACCGTTTTAGCTATATACAGAACCAATTTTTACATGGATTTTCCCTTCGATCCTCAGGAACTTTTTGTATTCGCACTTCTTGGGTAAGAAAAATTATCCACAATTTTTTAGATTTGCAATTTATTATTAATAAAAACATTTAGAAACATTTTTTAAACCGTACAATATTTTAATAATCATTGCCTGTTTTATGTCTAATTTTTATTTACTACATAATAATAATAATTACTAGTAGAGAAGTAGTAAAACTATTATTTTACTGCTTAGAAATTTTTAATTTTTATAATAAATTAAACGTGCATTTTTTGCCAAGAATTCCAGAATGCACTCTCTTTTAAGTATTATACTAAATTGGTACCTTATTTTTTCTTTTTATAATAAAACAATAATTACAAAAATATGTATTTCCTACTTTTTAATAAAAGAAACAACATTTTCAGATTGTCATGAAAAAACTTCTTTAACAAATTTAATTTATAACTCATTCATTTTTAAAATGGCTACCTCTATTCCTTATACAAGTGTTAAATAATTATTTTGGCATCGTTCTAATAACTTTGTTTCGGGCACCGAGGCATTGGAGCAATTATAGGTATAAGTTACAAAAGTAACCTAAATTAATGGATAAAAACTTCAAATATTACATCTTAATTTTATAAACATACTTTAATGAAATTACAAGTAATTTACAATAGATATTTAATTCTCTAACGATATATTTTTTTCAGAGCATTTTGTGGACTAGGTGCTTCCTTTTATGTTTGGGTTCACCGTCAGTACGTAATCTTCATGAGGAATAGCAAATCCTTGAATAAATTTTTAACAAAAAAGTAAGTTTTGCCACACATGCGTTATTTCCTGGTAACCAATCTAAATAGTTTTAAATTTGTTGTAGTCGTTTCATATATCCAGGAATAGTGTCCTTATTCGTCGCTAGTGTTTCCTTTCCTTTGGGTTTAGGACAGTTCGTTGCCGGAGAACTTACCACGCACGAACAAGTTTTCGCTCTGTTCAGCAACTTCACTTGGACCGATCAAAATTTGACAGTACAGGAGGAGTATAAACTAAGTCATTGGAAAACTCCCTGGACTGGAGTTCTGACTAATTTAGTTTGTTGTATAGTTTTTAATGTAAGTAAAACTTTTTTTAAATATTCTTATTTTAAATAACCTTTCAACAAAAATGTTCAATATGGAAGGTCAATGTTATTTTTTACACTTTAAAATGAAATGTATGTGCGATATAATTTGTCTATAATTTAGAGCCATGAGTATTTGGCTCTTACGAAACTGCACCCCAAAACAGGGTTTTCTACCTGATTTGAAAAAGGTAACAATGAAAGTGCATCCCCATAAGGTAACTTATCGTAGGCTAAGCTAATTTAGCTGTCAAATTGAGCCATTGTTGCCACCTTTTGCGCTATTTATTAAAAATTCTACAAACGTTCTCTTTATATTCAGTAATATTTTTAGAAAATTTATTTTATCCAGTAAGGTTTTAAGAATACTGATTCTTTTTAATAAGTTCTGTTATTTTATTTATTAATCTAGGAATTTTGTAAATTGACTAATGAGTAATAATTCAACAACTACATATTTAAATGTTTATTACAACTATAAAATATAATTAAAACTTAGCTCTTACGAAATTATTTTAATAAAGTATAATTTACTTATTTTATGTTGATTTAAATCACTCAGCAAGTCTTCGAGAAATCTTCTTCTACTTAAACTTCGAGTGTTAAGTTTTTTTGGGATTAGACCACTATTAATTTTTATATATGTGTCAATTTGAAATTAAGTTCACATTTATAAAAACATTCACATTAGGGCGAGCGGCGTAAAAGGAAGCATTATATTTCGAATGAAAAGACTCACAACAATAATTGGTGGTTCTCTGCAAAGAAGAAGGCTCTGCCCATATAAATGGTGGATAATTGTCAACGAGATATTCACAAAACTTTTTCATTGACAGGCTAAATTTGTGTTAAATCAGTTGCGAAAATGTAGCCTACATCTTCAGGATGAAAAAATGAGAATCCAAAAACAAAGTGTGATGTTTGTTTACTTTAAAACAACAGTTTTACTTTAAAACAACAGTTTATTTATTAATAATTTATTTAAACACTTATTTATTTTATAACACAACTATTCTAATTTATATATACTTCGAATGTCTTTAAACTGATCACTATTTATATTCACCACTGTCTATCTACTAATTACTATTTATCTTCACTGTCCATATAAAAACTAACTCTGATGGCTCCTCCACCAATTTATATACAAATTGGTGGTCTAGAATGCTCCCCCACCAAAATTACCAGAATGTACCAGAAACGTTATCACGTTATATTTAGACTAGAAATAGTATCTCGTTGACTCTGGAATGTTCGCGAAAGTGTCTCCACCATAGTTGTCACATAGATTTGGTCTTAAGGGGGTTAATTATGTATAATAATCGGACAAGTTGAGCCTCAAAGGCCAAATAATACAGAAAGGGACTTGGAGAGTTAGAGCATGACTGAATAATGAAATAGCTCACATAACTTTGCCCCCTCCTTAAGAGATAGTTCCTCATGGAACTCTTACGAAACTAAACTGGAATGGTTGTATCTGCAACTGAATCCACTTCCAGTTGTATGGAAGTAACAAGGGACTGTCTTCGCTGTAACCTGGGCACTGGGCAAATGGCTGCAGACCAGTATTTGGACTCCGGTATCTTGCAAGATTACTTCCACCATGTTCCTAATGATCCTCCAATCCAGCTGATTTCCTTCTATCTTCGGCATTGCTAGTTTCTGTATATTGGACTGCCGTACGTGCTCCCTTAGACTAAGTAATGCTTCCCATACATCCTGATAGGTGGATCGATCTTGGAAGGTGTTCTTCGTTGTTAAATAAAAAAGATAACGTGACCCGTCTTGAAGTTTCAAGGCTTTTCCAGGGGCTGGTAACTGACATTGAAGTTTTACCAGTCGACCAAACTTCTTACGGAACACATATGCCAGTCCTCGCGCGTCGTTGATGCTGGCGGAAGTACTATGGACCAGCGAGTAGTCTTTCGGAAGCGATAGCGATATCTGGCTTTTCCAGTACCTCCATGCACCCATAAATTCTTCAAAGACAAGGTCTGGTGTTTCTTGAAGTTGGTTTACTTCTTCTTCATGGTCACCTTCAAATGGCGCCAGCCTGGTTTGGTGCACTACCTTTGGTTTACCGTTTGGGATCTTACTTATACGGTAAATTACATCATTTATTTTATTCTTGATTAGGTACGGACCTTGCCAAGACCTCTGAAGCTTCGGAGAATAACCCTTTTGTCTTTTTGGGTTATGGAGCCAGACTTTGTCGCCTTCTTTGAAACATCCTTCTGTTGCTTGGGTACCGTATCGCTTCTTCATTCTGTCGCTGGCGATTTGAAGATAAGAGCGAACTAATTCATGCATGTCATCCATTCTTCTTCGTAACTGGATCACATAATCTTCACCAGCTAGATCTTCTCCAGGTCGGCATCCAAACTCGAGGTCGCACGGTAGTCTCATCTCACGCCCAAACAAGACCTTTGCTGGTGTTTAGCCTGTTGATTCATTGACGGCGGATCTATAAGCCATTGCAAAGAGCGAACGATACTGATCCCAATCTCGCTGATGGTTTGAAACCACTTTTGACAGATATTTGCCAATAGTCTTATTCATTCGCTCTACCATTCCATCGGATTGTGGGTGCAATGCTGTGGTTCTGGTTTTCTTCATGCCTAGTCTGTCACAGATTCCACGGAAAAGTTGCCTTGGTCACTGTGGATCTCCAAGGGTACTCCAAATCGACAGATAAACTCTTTTATCAAAACATCTGCAACAGTTGCGGCCTCTTGATTTGGAATGGCATAGACTTCCACCCACTTTGTAAAATAATCCATAACCACCAAAATGTATTTATTACCATCCTCGGTCGCGGGGAATGGTCCAGCAATATCTAAGGCGATCCTCTCAAATGGGCTACCAACGTTGTATTGCTTCATGGGTGCCTTCCTTTTTCGTTGAGGTCCATTACTCATAGCACAGGTGGTACATTTCTTACACCAGTCCTTTACATCATCGGAACTGTTCATCCAGTAAAACCTTTCCCGAACTCTCTGAAGGGTTTTCGTAACACCGAGATGTCCTCCTGATGGACTGTCGTGTATAACTGACGGAGTACTTCAGCTACTCTACTTCTTGGAATGACCAACTGTCTTCTGTTCTCGGAACCATCATCATTTTCAATTACTCGCTTAAATAAGCCATCTTCCAGGATAAAGGAGTTCCACTGAGCCAAATACGACTTAAGTACTGGAGAGAGATTAGATACTTCTTGCCAAGTAGGTCGACGATTTTCCTCTTTCCATTGTCGCATCTTCTATAAAACGGTATCACATTCTCTTGTTCTTCCCTAATTTTAGCAGGGGCCCACTCATCGTTGACTACAGTTGTTCTTAGTAGCCCACTTTCTTTGGATTCCGCTTTGTTGCAGTGGGAGCACTCTGCTGGACATGGTCTTCTAGAGAGAGAATCGGCATTTTTGTGACTTATTCCGGCCCGATGTTCGATCTTAAAGTCGTATTCTTGAAGTCGTTCAATTCATCTGGCGATTTGACCCTCTGGGTTCTTAAATTGCATCAACCACTTAAGGGCTGCATGATCGGTCCGGATTAAAAATTTCCTTCCGTACAAATATTGGTAGAAGTGTTCCACGCACTTTACAACTGCCAGAAGTTCTCTTCTTGTGACGCAGTAATTTCGTTCAGGTTTCGAAAGCACTTTACTAAAATAACCTAGTACTCTTTCTTTCACTTCCTGAATCTGTGAAAGCACTCCTCCAATTCCCACATTACTAGCATCAGTATCCAGGATAAATTCTCCCTCTGGTAGTGGGTAGCCTAGTATTGGTGCTGTTGATAAATGGTTCTTCAATGTTTCAAAGGCAGTTTGGCAGTCCTTATCCCAGCAGAATTTTCTCGCTTCTTCTGTGAGTCGCGTTAGTGGTTTAGTAATATCTGCAAACTTCTTTATGAATCTTCGGTAGTACGTGCAAAGCCCAAGAAAACTTCTTATTTGGTATTTGTCCTTTGGTTGTGGCCACTCTTTGATAAAAGCGACTTTTTCCTTGTCTACAGCCACGCCATCCTGACTACATGACCCAGGTAATTAACTTTACTTTGGAATAGATGGCACTTCTTGGGGTTTAGCATCAGTTGGGCAGCTTGAAGTCTTTTAAAAACATCTTCTAAGTTCTTTAGATGTTCATCAAATGTTATCCCCAAGACTATAATGTCATCTAAATATACCAGGCACGTTTTCCATGATAACCCTCTCAATACATTTTCCATAAGTCTTTCAAATGTCGCGGGGGCATTACAAAGTCCAAATGGCACGACATTAAATTGCCACAAACCAGATCCGGTGGTAAAAGCTGTCTTTGTTTTGTCTACTGGGTCCATTTCCACCTGCCAATATCCAGACTTTAGGTCTAAGGTAGAAAATAGTTTACTTCCGGCCAATGTGTCCAAGGTATCGTCAATTCGAGGAAGAGGATAACTGTCTTTCTTGGTTACATTGTTCAACTGACGGTAATCCACACAGAACCTCGTAGTTCCATCCTTTTTCTGGACCAGGACTACCGGAGAGACCCATGGGCTGGTAGAAGGTTCTATCACCCTGTCTTCCTTCATTTCTTGAACAATCCTTTCAGCTTCCTCTTCTTCCTCTTTTATGGTCCTCACTTTATTGTATCCACCAGAGGCATGTGTAGCTGCCTCATATTCAAGGGCAACGGACAAGACATCGACCAATGTTTTGTGGCGGGCTAGACGAAGTGTTCTTTGCATCTCGTGGTCACGAAGTCCATCAACAAATATTTGAACTGCCAAATATTTCATCATGTTTTCCGGAGCTAATGGATAAGCAAATCGCACCAACCTGGCAATATCTACTTCATATTCCTGGAGAGTCTCGTCTCGTTTCTGTTTACGATTCTTTAATTGTGATTAGTATAGATGCTGCAAATGTTCGTGGCCATATCGCACATTAAGTCTCTTTTTGAGTTGTTCAAAATCATCTGTTTCTTCCACGGGTATAGTCTGAAGGACATCCAAAGTGTCTCCTCGAAGGGCGATGGTCAAATTTATTGCCTTCTCTCGTTCAGACCACTCGTTTGCTCTGGCAGCTGTTTCGAACTGTTTAAGGTAGTTCGTCCATGACATCTTCCCGTCAAAAGTTGGGGCTTTAACACGAGGAGAGTTTACAGCTCCTTCCAATTTCAACTTTGACTCCACTTCATGGCACTTTATTTCAACGTCCTTGGCCGGGTCTGAATGTTCCAGTTCTTTTATCTTCTTTTCCATTTCTTTTATTTTCTCCTCAACGGAAGACATCTTGTTTTCCACATCAGCAGAAATTTGAGCGACAACCTGACCGATTCGGGATGCAGTTTCGAATGTCCGGAGTATTTATCTCTATCGGTCATGACCTACCTTAGAAACATTTGTTGTGATCGACTCTTTAAAATTCTTTTTATTTTTTTTCTTTGACTTCTAAAACCTAAACTCACCATGATCAAAAACATTTTTTTTTTACTTTTTAAATAGCAACAATTATAAATACACAACGCAAAGTTGATACCAAATACCGGTCCGAAATTTTACAGAAACTATATAATTGAACATGTCTTATTATCTATTATTTCATGTTTCGCAGTTCTAATTATGACCCATTTGTTCTTAACGTAAAAAATCATTCTTCATTTCCAAAATTTAAATGCTAAAGAACCAATGTTCGCAAACCAAAGCTACTCAAATAGAAACGAATTCATGCGAATGTATGGAAATTTATCTCTCTCTTTTTTATATTTTTTGTCAACTTTCTTATCTAATTTAAGTAATCTGTGACAACGTTTCGCTCTTCTTCTCTCAACATGCAATTACACTAATTTTCTAGTGGGTTATTTACCTTTTTTCTAAACCCTGTCTTCTCATATATTTTCAGGATAGACGAAACTCTAAACTGCCATTAATACATTTATTTCCAACTGTATCTTTTGTCTGAGTAGTTCTTTTACAAATATCATGGCTTGCCTACAAAATTTTCACTTTAATTTAATTGGTTTCATAAGTAAAAGAATAAGGGCCATCCGCACCGCTTTTACTTAGTGTCTAAGTGACACTTAAGAAGGCATAACTACTAACTAACTACTTATCGAGTCGTTAAGAATCACTTTATTAAGCCTAGAAATAATAAGTTTCACTTTATTATGGGGAAATTTATTCTGAAGCGTGCGAATGGTCCTAAATTAAACTTTTTATTATCTATTGCTGTAATTATTATTTTTTTTTTTTAATATAGTTTATAACTTCAATAATATGCTCAACGTTACCAGTACCAAGTGGCATCTTTATACCGGTGTTCAAAATTGGAGCTGCCTTTGGAAGAATAGTAGGAGAGCTAATGCATCTTTGGTTTCCATCAGGTATGTAAGTCATAGAAACTGTCACAGAATATCACAGTGAGTGATATTCAATTTCCGTTTATAACATTTTCAATAATAATATCCAACTCTTCAAGTGATAATTGCAAAGCTTAATATTTTTCGAATTTCCGAAAGCGTTCCTTGTGGTAGTTGCAATAAATTTATGAGTAGGGGAGAGGGGGGACATTGGGACACTACAAATATAATTAGCTGTGTATAGCTTGGCTTTCAATATATTAATCACATAATGTTATGTTGTTGCCACTGATAAATGTACTATCTATCACCATAGGTTTAGCGATTATTCTCTGATCGATGAATTAGATTTTTGCAATTTTCCAAAGTATCCAAATTGTCCAAATGTACCCCTTGGCTGGGGTAGATTTGGACAGTGTAGGGGCAGGTGTGGACAAAAACAATTTGTTATGTTCTAAAAGTTTTAGTCATATTTATTTGGTGAATAAAGCTGGAACAATCTAACACAAGTCGCATAAACAGTAAAAAATGTAAAAAAGACGTTATAGGCTCCGAAGTCTACTTGAAACTGCTTTATTGAACTTGACCTTGCAGTTGTTTCAGACGTTCTTGGCTAAGGTAGTTTTAGTTCCATTTGTTCCAATTCTATTAGGTCCTTATCAGTGACTTGGGGAAAAGTAAATTTATTTTCTTTCTTAGAAAATTTGTTAAATATTTTCCGTCGACTATTTATTCCACTTCTCCAACATAATACTTATGTGTCTTCTTCATGCAATACTTTACCAACAAAAAGTCACCGATTTCGATATTTGGCGTCCCAGATTCAGTATCTATGATAGGTTCTACGTCTTGCATGAATTCTTGGTCGGAATTTTCACGGTAAATTTCACTTAAGGAGGTCCTTTCGCCACCAATGTTAAATAAAAAATATTAGATTATGACTAAAATTAATTTTTTTCTAATAGTAGATGTCCTTATTTATCTAATAGTGAACTTTTAACTATACCTTACCGTGCAAATTTTTGAGAATTTTTTTTTTTAAATGTGTTTATCCTTTATCAAAAGGAACAATACCGCTTTTTCTAAACCCAGAACATATATTGGCCAGTGTTAGAGCTTTCTGATATGCTTTTTCTGTTAGTTCAGCAATTTCATAGATGGATACTCTTACCAGGATGATTTACCAACCAATCATCAAAAGCTTGCTTCAAATAGGTTTTAAATGGGCCATAAAGTTCAACCTCAAGAGGCTGGAGGCGGTGCGTGCAATGGGGAGAAAGGTTACGAAAATAATTCCATTCTCTCTACAAAATAAAATTGTTTCGAGGCTGGGGTGGGACTCTTGGTTGTCCAATAAAATCAGTATGGGTTCATCTTTCATACATTTTGTATGCTTCTGTGTGTGTTTAATTACATGCAAAAATAATATGGATGTCATCCATCCTGACCCTGACTTGTTGGCTAATCCAAGACTTCCTGTGGGCGCACCTTTCATAAAAACATCCTTTAATTTTGCTCTTGGGAAAACATAGACAGGAAGAATTGTATTTCCGACTCCACTTTTTATAGAGCAAAATGTAACCAGCTCTCTTCGTTCTACGGATACTGCCTGACCCACTTGTTTTGTACCAGTTTTGGCAATAGCTTTCGGTGCGTCTAAAACAGTGGCAACGCTTGTTTTATCCAAATTGTAGGTTCGTTCTGGAGGTATCTTATACTTTTCTAAAACTTTCTGTAAATTATTAAAAAATTCTTTCACATTTGTTTCATTAAATCCGGAGACTCTTGCTATACTAGTATTTTCTTTAATGACAAAATTGGATACCTCTTCATAAATAATTTCATCAAATTCTTTCCAGGGGATAACGAGTTATTCCAGCTCGACGGATATTATACATTTAATTTTTTAGCATAACCGAATGCCAGTTTTTGGGCTTTTGTATATGTGAGACCATAATTCATTTTCGAACTTTGGATAAAATATTTGGCTAGTTCTTCTTGGGCAGATGTCTTCTTGTTGAGATGAATACTTTGACTGGAATGGTGATGAAAACGATATGTCAACATCTGCATCTTGTCTGTCAGAAGCGTCAGGGTCTCGGTTGAGGTCTTCCAGACGTCGTATTTTTATTTTCTTCACTTTGTTACCCACGGTCGACTTTTTCAAATTGTAGGTTATGACTGCAGTTCTTATTGAAAGTCTTCCTTGCAAAACATCTTGAACAGCGGCAATTATATTCTCCTCCGATATAGCAGAACGATTGATCTTCCTCTTGTAAGTCCTTACCATTTTAAAGCCTGAAAAATATGTTCAGTAATTTCTCACATTTTCTCTGGGGCAGATTGGGACAGCAGTACATAAGAGGTTATAATACACAAACGGAATTGAAATGCGATTTTCCCCAAGTTATTTTTTATAGGAGTTTCAGGGGTTTATTGATATCAAAAAGGGGACTAGAAAAGGGACACATGAATTATAATTAATTTCGCAGTCTTGGTTTTCTCTGGGATAGATTGGGACAGTATCCATATGTGCCCCCGACTACATGTCCCTATCTATGAACAAATAAGGTTATGTAAATAACTAAAACAAACAATTACATCAGCATATACCTCTAGAATTTTTAATTTAAGCATCCACTTGGAAAATATTCGATCTCAAACGATTTTCGATTTATTTACAACGCCGGACACGTTTACGCACCAAATAGTAATAAGCTACGGAGTTGCTTGAGACGATCAAAACTTTTCTACAATAAAATGGGTACACGTGATGCCATCTAACGGTCAAGTAGTGCAATAAAACTTCACGCTTGGTGGCGCTAAAATTTGAAATGTCCATATGTGCCCCGTGTTCCAATGTCCCCCTCTCCCCTATTTATCAGTTGACGAAGGTTATTTGGTTAAAACATTGTTGGCAATTTAGATTAAAGTCTGTTCGAAGTGCGATAAAAAATTAATTGTATTTTAAACAATGGAAATTCATTTATACGTTGTGTAGGTAGTAATTATTAATTTCAGTAAATTATCGTCCTATTAAAACAGGTTGAACCTGACGTTATAGATACGGATAAGTAAACCACCTAATTCAATAAAGATATTATACCGGTCAAGATATATATATTTTTTTTTTCAGTTAAAAACATTATTTGTTTTCGCCTGCTGATACTGATACCGGTACAGAGTTGTACTTAACAAGCAAATATAATTTAAAATCAAAAGAAGGATTTACTGATTTAATTTTTTATTTATGAATTTTTAAAAATTAAGGGTTATCCTCCGCTTGATTTTTTAAGCCAAAAACAGCGGTTAAACTCGTGCACAATTACAACTTTATTTTTCAAAATTACTTAAAAATGCTTGTGTAGGTGATGAAAGAAAACGTATTTCTAGGGATGTATAAAAACAAAATGATTATTTTTTTTAATATTACTATTATTCAAGATAGAAAAAGGTGACAATATTACGTAAGGCGCTAATTATGTCGTTATAAGAAATAATTTGGAAAATCTAATTCTATATATCCCTGTTGCAAATCTTTAACTTTGTTCTAAAATGCTCTTTCTTCAAAAAATAGGTTATTAATCGCGCACGGCCTGACCCTCTGCAAGTAATATTTTTCTAACCGTAATGTGGTGCTCTTCTCACTAAAATTTGTTAACAGCAAAACTAATAGATAAACAATTTATTTACCCGCCTTCGTCAAGTGCGAAACTTGCAATGGCCCGCACTCCCCTGATAATTTTAAGTAAGGGATCAGTTGGAAGATGATTCTTAATAGAAAAATTATGTTTGTAAAACTAATCTAAATCACTACCATCACCTTCCTCATAAGATTCACCGTCGCTTACATTAATTACAAGTCTTTTTAAAACTGGTATGTGTCGCATATATTCGTTTTCCATGGTTTATAGCATTTCTCCAGTTCTCAGAGGTAATATTTGAGTACTCTTTCATTGTAAGTTTTATAACGCTATTAGAATTTTTTGGTGAATTATTATTTATTTTTACTTGTTGTTTGGGCCCATAATAGTTTAACCGGTTAAAATCAGTTAGTTGTCTTTTGAGTTTAACTGTGTGACCTATATTTTGCGAAATAGGTCCTGATAAAATATCTACCTGATATGAAAACCAATGAAAAAACTAGGCTTTATTAAACTGTAACGAAGTCAATTTTTCCTTGATCACTTTATTTTGATTTATCATCTTTAATAAATAATAAGCGCGCTCGAGCTCTTGTCTAAAGGTGGGTCCACATTGCTCCTGCTCGTGCTCACGCTCGTGCTCGTGATCGCGCTTATGCTGTTTCCGGAACGTTGCTTTTTGTGTTTTTTCTGTTTGTCAAGATCGTTTTAGCCGCAAGCAAAAGTATCCACATTGTAGTTCTGTGTTCGCGCTCTTGAAGTTCCGACATGGATGATCAATTTATTATTAACGGCGACTGCCAGTGCGTTAATTATTATTATAAAATATAGAGAATAGGAAAAAAAGTTACAAAAAGACGGTGTTGGATGCCAAATATTTTTAATAATAAATCGAAATACAGTGAAAGTAATCTTCTCCATGATTTGCAAACAGATAGGATATTTTTTAATAATTTTTGTCACATAAGTAGTACCGATTTTGAAATACTAATTAATTTAGTTGGCCCACATATCCTAAGAAAGAATAGCATTTTTTTTTATTATTTAGTTTAGAAAATTTATGTTGTGGATCCCACAAAATAGAATAAGTTTCGTAAAGCCCAACTAGCTTAAAAATTTATTATTCCGTCCACTACATATTGTACTGCGCCTTGTTCGTACGCTCGTACTTGAAAACAAACAGTAACAACAAAAAAATCACCAAACCGCCGTCAACTGTGCTTGCGCGCGCAATATACATCCCTTTGATGTGCCGATACCCGACCGAACAGTCAAAACAGTGTTTTGGGTGATTGCAAGCACGAGGAACACTGCAAACAGCCCAAACACGTCGAATATGATTTTTGTTTCATTCGTGCTGTTTGGTCCGTATGTTGCGCT